CACCGGCCCCCGGATCCGATGGACACGTGCGCAGATCCTCCGCGCTATCGCCGGCTCAGGAAGGCCTCCGACCTCCGGACCGCCGCCGCCCACCCACCCCAGAAACGGGTACGTACGGCACCCATCCTCGCGATTTCTGCTGAATGTTTTGCATCCGTTACAACCAAGAGGAAGAAGGAGCTGTTTATTTCTGGAGGATTGCTCCATGTTTGTTGAGCAGTACTACTGGTGCTGTAAGCTTAGTCTTGTGCATAAGCTAGCTGTCCAAATGAGCCTCGTGTAAGCAGCGGCGTGGAGAAGCATCTCTATTTTTAACCACCTGTTTGGAGTGGCTTCTAGCAATTGAGCTTATTTGGGAGTATTTGGTAACCGTGTCAAGTCTCAAACACCCATATACATCAACCAAGAGCCAACACAAACACTGTATCACAGTGACACATGAAAAACAAGAGCTACCAAATCATTTCGGCAGTGCAATAGTCTGAGATCCATGGTAATGCAAAGTAAATCTCGGAGATATGGCACTGTTCTTGCATACATCCATACAACGAAATTGACAAGATAATTAGAAAGGGGGGAATTGAGAAGCGAAATGTGAAAAGGAGAGGAACATGAGAACAGAGGCATATTTCCTAGCGGAGAGGGACGGGGGGCGCGGGTGGCACGGAGAAGCTCGAGAAGCCTCTCTTTTGAGGCTTCCTGCTACACACGTGAAATGGGAGGGGCTCCCCCCTGGCAGCCACATAGAAGCTTTGCCTTAGGGATAGCTTAAGGCTTATTTGAACCATAAGCCATCCCACAAGCCGTTCCTAACCCAGTGGTAGGTAGAGACAATGCAGTTTTGTGTGTATGTTGCTACTGATTTTCTCTCTTTTTAGTCTATAAGTTTATTGTTAAAAAATGTGGCAACTAGAACACCTGTTCCTGTTCATCTTTTGCAGCAGAATGGAGTACCTATATAGTATGATACATATATGCTCTTAAAATTGTTGTGCCTGCTCGTGTCATTAATATTTAGGTTGAATAGGTGGACGCACTCTTCCATTTGTTTTGCTAGTTCGTGCACTATTTTTGACTAGTAATGTTGTTAATGGTTACTTTTAAGGCAAATTGCTCAGTTATCTGTTTAAGCTATTTGGAATTCCCTGACTGTTCTTCATTTATGTCTCACCAAAATAAAACTAGATGCGTCCGAGTGAGGAACACACCAGTTTCTGTGAGGACAAGATCAGCAGCTTACCCGATGAGATGTTAATCATGATCGTCAATAAGCTAGATGCACGGACGGCAATAACCACCACTATCCTTTCGAAGAGATGGCGGGATCTTCCTGCACACTCGCACACATGTTATGACCTGATGACATCCTCCCTCCACGCTATCACAGACTGAAGCAAATGGTGGTGGAGGCTAAAGCAGGGTATGTGGCAGAGAAGAACGTACTGAACTTGGCCGGCAGTCATGCTTTTAGAGACCGATTCTTTGCCGTCAATGACTGGATGTGGATAGTCCAACGGCTGACTACCCACCTGCAACGTTATGAGCGTTGGGCCATGCGACGCTATGTTAAACGGGTGAATGCGTTCCTTCTGCCCCGCACCAATGTTCAGCAACGGTCTATCAAGAAGCTGAGGCTTCAAACCTTTGGGACGAGCAATTGCAATGATCAATGGGTTACATCAGCGATTGGCAGATGGGGCGTTGAAGATTTGGAGCTTGTCATTGACAACTCTTCCTGGTGCTATGACTTCCGGCTATTGGATGAATGCAAGAATGTGCGATTGAAACGACTTGTGCTATCCAATTGTTATCATCATTATGCACCCAAGTCCTTGACGTTTCAGAGGCTCACAGCACTTACTCTGCGCAAAGAATGTTCGCATATTTCACACGTTTGTTATATTCTGAGAAACTGTGTGCAGCTGAAGGATTTGAGCCTGAAATATTCCGGTCATAACCAAGATTCTCTTCATATTCGTGTTCCTAAGTCAAAGTTAAAGAATCTGCAATTGGACAACTGCAATGTTGGGCAAGTCTATCTGACTTCACTGCCTTGTCTTGAAGCATTTGCTTGTCGCGGTCAGCCAATCGAATTACACTACAGCGAGGTCCCTCGACTTAGGCATGTGAGTTTGAACTTCTTGCAAACTGGAGATAATGCCAAGGATGGTTCCTTATGTGGACTGAGCAAGTTGTTTTTAGGGATTCCGCCACCGCTAGAGTACCTTGCTCTGCAATTAAGAGGGGGTCAGGTGAGTAGCCATTCCTGAAATGATATTGTTTTTTTATTGATCATAGCATCGCATCGCTACATAAGATAGTACTTAATTATCACTTCATTTATGCAGATGTGGATTAAACCTGCTGCCATTCGCAGCCAGCTTAATCATCTCAAGAAACTATTATTTGCAAACGTGGCAATGAACTGGGATACATTCTGGATTCTCACCCTACTTGCTGCCGCACCTGCCCTGGAGTCACTCCATGTTCATGTATGTTTACCCTACTTTTTTTTTCAAGCACAATACTTTTTGGGGTTTGAAAGATTTCTGAAACTCTGAAATCTGAATGCAGTTTGTCAACAACTCAGGGAAGGTGGGTGCTGCAGGATCACTAGATGTGCAAGTGGAACACCATCAGCAGCACCATCACCTGAAAGAACTCGTGGTCATCGGCTTCGGCGGGGCGGCCTGGCAGACAGGCTTTGTGAAGCAGATCATCCAGGCATCGCCGATCCTGGAGCGCGTCCACCTGCTGGACGGGCACGTTGTCGATGATGAGGATCGGGAGCTCGTCGGCCTGGAGATCGTCCGCCGCCGCCGGGAGTGGCACGAGTGCGAGAGATTGAAGGTGCTCGACGAACTGACAGACGGGATCAGTTCGCCGCATCTCAAAATAGTTTTGGAATGACTTTTGGTAAAAGTCCGCTGTGCCGGTAGCCTTCCGTTCTGTAGGGCTTGCAGCTGTATGCCAGGGCCTAATGATTATGTTATGCTGGCTCTAAAGATATTGAACAACATGTGTTTGTATGGGGTATCTTGTGCTTTACTTTTGCTCGATTATCCAAAGGACGGATGTAGCTGCTGTTGAGATGATTGATTCCGTGGTGCTCATGGTGTGGCTTGACTAGGCAAAATTACCACTTGGGGCGCGCCTAAAAGATATTTTTCTTTTTCTTTCCTCCTTTCTGATAGAACCAAAAAAGATCTGCAGCATCCCTGATATTGTTGACTACTGCTACTTGTTGGACCAGAACAACAACTTGGTGGACCTGATATCACAACTGAACCCTAGAGACTCAAGCACTGGTTTAAGGTCATATATAGATGGCCAAAATTTCAAAACCAAAAAAGATACAAACATGGTAAGTACTGTACACGGATAAGGTTTCAACACCGTCTATATATTTACCGAAAGAGGATTTATGGCACACAGGTGCGGGGCCATCGACCCCATTTTTCTTTTGGCTTTCGAGTTTCAATATTTCGTAAAAGTTCAAATTAAGTTTTGTTTCCGTATTCGCCTGTCTTGTGCGAGGGCTTTCAAATATTACCCATTTTGAACATGTTTTGACGAGTTTTTTTCCCCTTCTTCTACACTTCCTTTAGTTTTGCCCGCTGAAACATGATACAGAGAACGGCAGAAAGCCAAAACACAAGGACACCGGTTCAAATTCATAGGAAAAAACGTTTGCACACTTCCTTGCATGGTACGTACTCACCTCCGTTCCAAAGTTAGTGTAAAGTTGAGTCATTTATTTTGAGACGGAGGGAGTAACCAAGGATCCATTCAAATTCACACGGAAATTCACCGCTTCCTACGTGCCCGTAACA